TGCCTGTTGCACGTGTGTATATATCTCTCAGCTTCGCTGACTTTCCATGCCTAAGTCTAGGCGGTGACTGGAAGTTAGCCTCACGGTTGTAGAGTTTCTAGAATATTCTCTTGGACGGCGTGGGCGCCAAGGTTGGAGACGTGGGGAGTTAGCTGGTGACCTTCAGGGTGTGCCTTTCTGGTGCCGCACGTTCCAGCGCGTGGCCGAGGGTGTCTGTGTGGGACTTGTGGTCGGCCTCCCACGGGATGGGTGCCTCGGGACCTCGGGAGGTCCCTTGGCTGCCCGTCCTGTTCGGAGGTGCACCGCGTGTCGGTGCTGGCCTGTCCCTCCGTGATTCGGGCCCGCGTTTGTGGGTCCCGAGCGGCCCCGCGGGCTGTGGGCGCAGTGGAACCTTCGGCCAGTGTGCTGGGGTGGCGGTGTGCAAGGTCCTGAAAGTAATGGTCACGTGTCGGGCTAACTTGACCACTGGCGTGGACGTACGCCTCCGTAAAACAGTATGACCGTTTACGCTTGTGTAAGGCTATACTGTTTGGGGGCATCGTTGAACGCCGTCTCCTTCCGTAGCCTCTTTCCAAGGCTCCCACCCGCTCCCTCCCTGTAGTCCGGGGCCGCGTCGCGGCCCCTGCACGCGGAGACTGTTCTGTATAGCTGCCCCCAGCTACTCCAGGTTGGTGCCCTAAGCCCAAAGGAGTTAGCTGGTGACCTTCAGGGTGTGCCTTTCTGGTGCCGCACGTTCCAGCGCGTGGCCGAGGGTGTCTGTGTGGGACTTGTGGTCGGCCTCCCACGGGATGGGTGCCTCGGGACCTCGGGAGGTCCCTTGGCTGCCCGTCCTGTTCGGAGGTGCACCGCGTGTCGGTGCTGGCCTGTCCCTCCGTGATTCGGGCCCGCGTTTGTGGGTCCCGAGCGGCCCCGCGGGCTGTGGGCGCAGTGGAACCTTCGGCCAGTGTGCTGGGGTGGCGGTGTGCAAGGTCCTGAAAGTAATGGTCACGTGTCGGGCTAACTTGACCACTGGCGTGGACGTACGCCTCCGTAAAACAGTATATACATTTATACATATATGTATATATATATATATATATATATATATATATATATATATATATATATCCGCCGGCGTCCAGCACTTTCAGGAGCTCCTCCGCGACTTCCACTTCGTCGGCGGCTCCGTGGACCAGCAGCGCGCCCAGTTCGTCGAGTACGTTCGTCGGTCGGCGCTGGAGTCTTTCGGCACTCGGCGCGACACGCCGCGGCAGCCGTGGATCACTGAGGCCACCTGGTCCTTCCTTCGACATGTCACGCCGATGCGTCGGAGGGCATTTGATGCCGCTGCACAGCGGTCCGTTGCCTATCACCGCGTCCTGTTTGCTGCTTGGGCCGCTGCGACGCCTCGTCCCTACGTGCCCAATGCGCCGCTACCAGCTCTCGGGTGGGGCGCCGCTGCTCGCGCCGACGGTCTTCGCGCAGTATGGCGTCAGCACTGTTGCCATGCTGCGTTGCTCTGGCGGTTGCTGCACTTCATCTCGCGCTCGACGAAGTTGCTCGTCTCCGCCGACCGCCTCACGTTCCTGCACAGTCGTGCTCAAGACACGGCCGATGCGGCCATGCGCGGCGACTCCAAGTCGCCCTACGGTATCGTGCGCTCGCTCTCTGGCCGGAACGTCGGTAAACAGCCCACGCACATCCGCAAAGCTGATTGCGAGCTCACCCAGACGGACGAGGAGCGCGACAAGGCATGGCTCGCGCACTTCGCGCGCGTCTTCGACGCCACCGCCGTCTCCTTCGACGCCTTGGAGAGGCTACCGCTTGCTCCGCCGCTCCCCATGACTGTCGCGTTCGACGAGCGGGACGTCTTCCAGGCCCTTGGCCGGCTCCGCCGCGACCGCGGCATGGGGCGCGACCTTCTCCCTGCCGAGGTCCTGCAGGCGGGCGGTGCAATCCTGGCTGCAAAGCTTCACCCGCTGCACCGTCGCGTTGCCGATGAGGAGCGGTGGCCCGTGCAGTGGGCTGGAGGTCGCCTCGCTGAAGTCTTCAAAAACAAGCGTGCCCGCGACGATCCCGATGAGTGCCGAGGCGTTGTGTTCGAGGACCACCTTGCGAAGGGCATGAAAGAGGTCTTGGCACCCCACGTTTTCGATGCCTACAACAAGGGCATCCCGGACAGCCAGCATGGTGCTGTCGGCGGACGCGGCACCGACATGGCCGCTTTCCTGCTGCAATGCTTCGTCTCGTACTGCGACGTCCGTGGCCTCTCCTACTTCGTGCTTTTCGTCGACCTGGTCAAGGCTTTCGACAAGATTCTCCGCGAAATCACCCTCGGCATCCCTCCGCACGAGCCCGACCCCCACGCCTACCTGCGTGCCCGTGGCCTTACGCACAAGCAGGCGCTATGGGTTGCGCAGTGGGTTGGCCGGCACCACTCCCAGTTTCTGGCCTGGGGAATGTGCCCGAAAGTTGTCCGGTTGCTATGCAACCTCCACGTGGTCTCATGGGTCACCTTCGGATCGCGTGACACGGCGCTCTCGGTTCTCAAGGGCGGCCAGCAGGGCTGCAAGTACGGCGCGGCTGTCTTCAACAGCGCCTTCGCCTTGGCCATGCAGCTCATCATCGAGGAGCTCAGCGACCTCGGCCTCACGGTCAAGCTCCGGCAGGGCCCGCCGACCTTCTGGGACGCCGCCTCGCCTGCCGATGCCTCCGGAGCCATGGACGTCGATTCCGTAGATGATGCATTCGTGGATGACGAGGCCTTCTTCGCCTGCGCGTCGCCCCCGGCCCGCCTCGACGCCGCCGTCGACAAGATGCTGGAGGTCATTTCATCGGCGTATTCTTTGCTCGCCTTGGAGATGAGCTTCAAGCCAAGGAAGACGGAGGCCTTCCTCAAGTACCGAGGCACTGGGTGCAGCGCGGCACGCCACGCACGCCGTACTGGTGCCAACGGCGAGCTTCTCCTTCCGATCCCTGGCTCGCTGCCGCACGTGGCCGTCAGGGTTGTTCACCACTACAAGCATTTGGGTAACGTGGTATCGGATGCCGGCAACTTGGTGCTCGATGCCAAGCACAAGAAGGCGGCCGCCATGCAGGCCTACGCCCTTCTGAGCATGAAGATTTTCGGATCCCCGGCGGTACCCATACCTTCAAGGCTGTCGTTCATGGCCTCGTTCATCCTCTCTCGGCTTCTCTACGCAGGCCACATCTTCGTGCCCACCGTACGATACGTCCGAGAGCTCACGAATGTGTATATGAGGGCCCTCCGGCGCATCTTCGACGCTCCGAGGTTCGGCCCGGCCGAGACGGACAAGGAGGTACGGCTCCGCACCAAGATGCCGAGCATTGATTGTCTTCTATGCCGGGCCCGCGTCAAGTTCCTTGGCCGGCTGGTCCGCCGGCAGCCGCCGCACGTCATCGCGTTCCTCTCGACCCATTGGCAAGACCGTCCGTTACCGTGGGTGGCACTGCTCCGGTCGGACTTGCAGCGGCTCCGTGATACGGTTGCCTTCTGCGCTGACATGCCTGAGCCGAGAGATGCTTTACCATGGTGCCGGCTCATCGTCGAGTCCCCTGGGAAATGGGCGTCTGCTATCGCTAGCGTGCATTTTTCCGATTATATTGCGAATGCGCCGTCCGCCAATGCCGCGGACGACGCACAAACGCTACCACATGTTTGTCCGGAGTGCCACAAGAGGTTCCCAACCGCGCGTTCTCTTGAGAGTCATCGCCGTGCCAAGCACAAAGTCTTGGCCCCGCAGCGCTACTTTGCCCCTGCCTCTGGCGTGTGCCCGAGCTGTGGTACTTGTTTCCGCTCGCGCCTCCGCCCCCTCGGACTCTTGTGCGATCGAAGGCGCCCCAAATGTTGGGACGCTATCCGTGTGCAGCCGAATCTGAATCTTCCAGATGACGTTGTGGCCCGGCTCGACGCTGCGGACAACAGGTCTCGCCTTTCCGCCCGTCGGGACGGCCACTCTCACGACCTCGCCGTTGGCGCGGCACAGTGTGCTGACGGCAGGGTGGTTGGCAGAGCATCTCGGTAACTGATTTGTATGTCTGCCAGCCGCGGCGAATTCATCCAGACGCCTCATGGCCATCGGGTAGGAATATATATATATATATATATATATATATATATATATATATATATATATATATATATATACATATAGGCCGAACGGTCATTCATTGTCCTTGGGTGCGTGGCTTGAGTGAGGATCCGTGGTGAGGATTCTGCTTGTTGCGTTGTTGCGTTATTGTTGTTTGTTGTCGTCGTCCCACCCGCGACCCACCTGCGACCCACCCCGCTACCCACCCAGCGACCCAACCCGCGACCCACCCCGCGACCCACCTCGCGACTCACCCGCGACCCAACCCACGACCCACCCGCGACCCGTCCCGCGACCCACCCGCGACCCATTCGCAACCCACCCGCGATCCACCCGCGACCCCCCGCGACCCACGTTGCGACTCACCGCGACCCACCGCGACCCACCCGCGACCCACCCTGAGACCCACCCGCGACCCACCCGCACCCACCCGCGACCCACTCGCACCCACCCGCGACCCACCCTGCGACCCACGCGCGACCCACCCGCGATTCACCCGCGACCCATACCCACATTGGTCTAAAGAAAAAATCAGCGCCTGCGGCGGGCTCGCTGCATAATTGTGAAACTTTGGCGCCTGCGGCGGGCTTCTCCAGAGTCTTGCAGTCTGCCGACGTCCCCCCACCGCCCTTTCACTCTTGTCCGCATCTGCGGGGTGCTACGTATATATGTTTCTCTCTCTCTCTCTCCCTCTCTCGTCCTCCAGATGCTTCTCCTCGTGTCGCCCGCTCCGCGTGTTTTTTCTCCTGCCAGATGCGGCCACTGATTTGCTGGAGTGGGAAAACTGGTAGAACAACTTGGTCAAGGGCGCTGCCCTAGAACAGAAAACGGATCCTACTCTTCCTGCCCTGCTTCTCGAGCACTTCGCCGGCAGCCCACCGCGTGCCTTGCGGCGCTCTGCGTCCTGAGGTCGAGAACAAAACGCAGTGCTTGCTCCTGCAGAGCACCAAGGATTCCTTCCGCGCACGATGGGCAAGGCTCGTGCACTGGCAGACAGATGGTCCGTCGGTCGACTGGCCTGGCCAGGATCTGCGTATGTGTGTCGCTGGCGTCCTCCCAGGAAGGCGAGCGAGAGAGGCGGAAATGGGGGAGGACGATGATGAGATGAATGAGCACTTCGTGCTCGCCCTTCTCTCCTCCCTCTTCCGCCTCCCGCTCCCGGGTGGCCCCTGACGACGCGGATGAGTACCCGGATATCTTAGTTAGTTCATGCTGATTTCTTGACTTGTAGTAGATTGCCTCGCTATCCATCGTTTGCTCGCTCCCTCACCGGCTGCTTCGCTTCTGCGCTCCCAACGGTTCCCCTCGCTCCCCTCGACCCTGTAGGTCGTCGCGAGTTCGTGTTGATCCTCTGGTCAGTACTGGGCGTCCCTCTCTCGCCCTCCCTTGGAACATGTTTTTCCGCGGACTGTGAGCACTTCGACCCAGCTTTGCACGAGCAAATGCCTGGTGTTTGCTGTGGTCGGACTTCTCCTGGAGAAGTGTCAGATGATCGGCAATGGTTGGCTGCGTTTTGTCCCCCACTGGCGTGATCGTGAGGTCCATACCTCGCGCGTGAAGAAATCCTTTATTGCTTTCCGCAAGCGCAGATCGGCCGTGTTTTGCAGCTGGCCCCCCCCGCCACGTTGAGAACAGAAGTGCGCATGTCCACCCGGATCCGAAGAATGTCCAGCAGGCCTTGGATCATCCTGACAACCTGAGTGTTCCAGGAACTGGCAAACAGCGGGTGTTCGAAACCGAAGAAGCGGCCCTTGCTCACTTGATTTTCGGCGATCTGCATGCAAATTCCGCTGATTCGGCGCGTGAATTATAAGGGGCCTCAGCAAGAGCTTCAGCCCTGAGCCTAAGCAAGAGCTTCAGCTCTGCTTGGGGGGGGGGTCGCCGGGGTGGCTCTGCGGGGTCCTCCATCTGGCGTTTTCTTCATGATTTGCGCGTCCGGACCCCCTCCCGGGGAAGGAGGGGGGAGGGGGGGGGGCGGTCCCCCATCTGGCGTTTTCTTAATGATTTGCGCATCCCCATGACGTTTCGGGTGGTCCCAGGGACCCCCCTCAGATCTAGCCGCTACCGCCCCCGGGGCCCTCCCCTCGGAACCGTCCCCGGACCCCTCCAGGCTCCAGGCACCCCCCCAGAGGAGAAGAAAGAAGACCAGAAGAATCGAGGAGGGAGGAGGCCACAGAGCCTCGAAGATCACCGAAACCAGTACCCCCCGGATCGGCGACACTGGCCAGAGGCCATTACAATATCAAATCGTTGACGCCGTCGGCCACTGCCCGATACCAGTTGTCAGGATCTCGAGCCGGCTCACTGATCCTACTGATTGCCGAGAAGACGCGACAGGGAGGGCACAGGCAGATCATTTCGGGTTCCTCGGCCGCGATACGCCCCCAAAGCCCGTTGCGGTCCTGGGCCCGCCTGGAGCCCCAACCCGCGGACAGGTCCGAGCTGGCCGTCTTGCCCAGTGGACCTCTTGTACGCATAACCTGGGGAATGATCCGGGGTGGGGAGAAGGCCTCGAGGAAATTGGTCTTTGACATGGCCGCTCGACAGGCCCAGCGTTTCGTTTTCTTGTGGCACATGCTCATGGCCTCCGCCATGGCCCCGAGGGCTCCTCTAACCTCAGCTGGACACGACGTCTCGTGATTGTCGTCGAGCATGTCTCCGTCGATTCACTCGACCCCCTCAAAACCGGGCCCCGCGGAACCGGTCTCCGGAGGGTCCGCCGAGCCCTTGCAGTTGCTCTTTGCCTCTCTTGCCGGACTCCGTTCAGCTTGCCCCTGCGGGTAGAATTTCTATCATGGGAGAGAGGCAAGGCAACAGCAGCAGTGACCGGAGGAACTTCGGCATCGGCGATTTGGCGGTAGTGGCGCCAGCAGGTCTGGCGCCGGCAGATCTTCGGACCCACCGCGCGTCGTGGGACGATGGGCGTGAGGAAGGCGGCGCAGCGCCGCCTCCTTCTCCGCCTCAAGCCGAAGCACGGCCACAGGCGAGACTGCCTGACTGGTCTAGGTTCGACGCTCAGGCAAGTTTCCAAAACTTGCGCAGGTTCAATTCGACCATCGCAGTAAAAGAACGACGCAAGCTCCACCCACGGTGGCATCTCGCTTCCGAACCAAAGACGCGCACGCGCAATCCTATCGAGAGTAGGTCCAGATGTTGTACGATGAAATATGATAAAGCGGCGTAGTTGACTCGCGCCGCGAGTGCAGGGTTTGGGAGAATCCAGGCAACGCAGTCATGCCATCCAGCCTCTCAGGTAAATTCATTGAGGAAGTCGAATGCGATCTGATGTTCTATAAGCAACACATCGTATTTCGCATTATCGATCGATGCACTCGTTGGGCTGCTGGCCAACAGGTAGCCGACAAGGCGATGCATGCTATGCTAGACGCCTATCACCAGTGCTGGATTCAGCGCGGTCTGGCCACGGCGATGCACTCCGCTGGAGAGGGTACCCTAAACAACGATTCCGCCAAGGCTCTCTTGGGAGCCAAAGGCACGGAGCTTCGCATCCGCTCCCGAGGCCAGCATGCCCACTCCAACAACGCAGCATTCCAGCGGTGTTCCCACGCCTAGTGCACGAAGGTCTATCTGTCTGTAATGCGCTCGCGTTCTACAACGGTGTATCGCCATACCAGGCATTGCATGGCCGACGACCGGCTTGTCTCCCAGTCTTTCCGGCGCTAGACCACGGGCGAGGGGCTGAAACGCCCGACCACAACCCGGAGAGAATAATCAGGGAGGTAAGCATCGAGGCTATCACGCAGGCCACGGCAGTTGCCAAAGCTATCCGAGCCCTGCGCACAAAGAAAACAGCAGCAGGACATCACAAGTATCTGTCTGGTGATCTCGTGGATTATCACCGCCCGACCACAAGGGGCGACTGGGGTGGATGGAATGGCTCATGCCCCATCGCTCGCAATTGCCCTGGCCGAGGTCAGGCAGTAGTTCAGGTCGGCGGCCGAGAAGCTCTCATGCAGCATCCAGACCAATGTCATACACTGTGCCTGGAAGTACCTATGGTCCGCGAGATCGGCTCCGATGCAGCGGCTATACGCGCAGTGCTGGCCTTCGTCGCGAGCCTACCTGCGGGGGGACCTGCCGCGGCATTCGGCTGCCTGCCGACCCTGCACGGGACGTCGCGGATGACCACCGCGAGTAGACTTTCGCCTGAGGTACACTTAGCAAACCTGCAGTACCATGCGCCGAAATTTATGCCCTGGTAGATGATGACAACGACGTCGCGCCAGGATTCCACCATTGCGAATCCGAAAGTGCAGCCCTCAACGTCCACGACGTCACTGGATCTACAAATGCACGTATCACCCAATGCCTCAGATCCTTAAAACCTCTAGCAGACATCGACGAAGACCTATCTAATTTTGAGGAACTGGCGGACGCGCCAGCACTGGGCGGCAACGCTCGAGAGTTAGAACCACCCCCAGCTCCAGCCGCACTCGATGGCAGGCTTCCGACTATCAATGAGGAGTCGCAGGTGGACTTAGCACGCATCATTGAAACTCGGTACATCGAACTCCAAGACGAGAAGGACTTACTGGAGACGACTCCGTTCGAATCCTTCCACTTACTACCAAGAGAAAGTGTCGCCGAAGACCATGCACTCGTGACGGCGACCAGGGAAGAGCAGGGACACTTACGTGAAATAGCTTGCGATCGCCACGACGATGCCGGCGAGGCACTTTCATTGCTTCGTATCGCCGAATAGAATGAAACAGACGACCTGGATTCGGACGAAGAAGGTCAGTATGTAGAGTTCAGCATTACTACTGATATAGCCCAAGTTGTTTTGACGGATCAGCAACGCAATTCGCATCGCAGCGGCCAGATAACCACTATGCGCGTATCTGCGTCAGCCGCAGCCGAGAGAGCTGCGGTCGCCAGGGGGGGCGATCTCCTGACGAAGGCCGAAATACAGGCGAAGACGGCCAATATATCCAAGTCACTGCACGCCGAATTGACTCCATGGCATGACAACAGCTGCTTCGAGATGCAGGAAGTTAAGGACGCCTCTGACATTGTGATATCTAGATATGCGCACACGCGGGGAGTTATGTAGGATGAATCAGTGAGCTGGAACGATCCATCGGACTTCGCCTGGTCCTTTGCGGCTTCATGGATCTCGAAGCAGTTGATGTAGTGACCGTCTGAGGCACGGCCCGCCGAGCAAGTGGGGGACCGCTCGCAAGCGCGGCCGCGCGCGAAAAGTCACGGATCATAGCGCCCATGGACATTTATTAAATACAAAGTTTGGCTTGTCGTGAATTGTCCGAGGCCGCTGGGAAGAAGGGGCGCATGGTCTGCTTTGCTCTCCCGCCCGGTTCAGCATCGGCGTTGCGCGCGTTGCAGGGCTTCGCGTCTCATGCTGAGTCGAAGCGCGGATTGCAGTGCTGGCAGCCAGGCGCCGGCACCAAGGATGCCCCTAGGACATTCCCACTTAAACTCAGAACCATCACGAGAGGCTTCGGGCTTAAACCTACCTCATATGATGAGGATTTTCGGACGTGTCCTGACCTCCTAACAGCCGAGCACGCCGACGACACAAACATGGCAGGAGTTGAGGACGCGATCGACAAGACGTCGAGCTCATAGAAAGCACGCCCGGCGCGTGTAAGCTCAGCAAAGACAGTTGCGCTAACTGCACCGTGCGCTACACGCAAAGACCAAGGGCGGCCACGTCCAACTAGATCAGGATGAATACACCAAACAACATCGCCCCGCGCAGCGACCAGACCTTACTGGCGCTGAAAAGGCGACGAACATCATCAGTCTGCGCGCTGCGTTCCCACCGTCATTGATCACGCAAGTGTGGTCGACGGCATACGTGGCCCGGTTAGAACGTGTCCAAGCACCCGCCAGTTTACATGTGCGAAGAGTCAACGCCGCGACGCGCAAACTGCAACAGGGCCCAAAGAACATGATACAACAGTTTACGACTCCGACAGGAGAAGTGGACCTACACATCGACTCCAGTTATCGCCGCCTCAACGGCGAGGCGAGCGACGACGTTAATCGCAAGGCGCGGCGTCCGAGGAGCCAACCTCTCACCGCGCGGACACGCGCCCAACGGTGAGGCAGTTGTGCACTTAATCGATGCGCACTGCAAGTTGCGCCGCATGCAGGTGCGTTCTGGCTACTCAACTGAAACCATAGCAGCGGCCCATGCTTTGGGAGACTGCTACCCTGCCGCTGTGATCCTACACGAGCTCAAATCGCCGAGCGCGTTCCACTACTCGCAAAGTGCCTACTCGCAAACGCCCCACATGCATAGGTATTTCCCGATGTAATCCATCGTAAATCTTCCGCGGCGGATCCCGGCAATTTGCGAGTAGTTGGTTCGCGAGAAGTGGAACGCCAAGTTGGGCCACTGACGCCAACGCAACTCAAGCACATCTTCGATCGGTGGCCTAAGCATCAAGGCCATCTTCACCATAGATGCTGACCCGAAGAAACCATCCGAATGCATTTTGTTAGGACATATCGGTTGGATCCGACAAATGATGGATGGAGGAATCGCTCACAGCGTACAGTGGTGTCATGCACGGGACATCGCAGCCGACAGTCATACCAAAGGCTGTATTGTTCGCGAGTCACTATTGGAAATGATGGAAGGAATACAATCGGTCAAATACGAAGTAAAGGGGTCATACAGAGGCAGCAAAGCAGCGCCGGCATAGCCATGCACTACCTGGGGCTAGCCTGCACTGCGAACGCGAGGCTAAATCATGGCCCACGCGCGCTCGGACACGGGCACCATTGCGCAGTTAGTCTGGGCACGGGCCGTCTTTTTCTTCTTCGCTGCAAACTGTGAAGCCTGCTTGATTGGCCAGGCGCCCTTTTGCTTCGCCGCGCTTTGGTGCCTGACTGTTTGGTCAGGCATCCTCTATGAATCCATTGCGGTCAGTCATGCGGGTTGCCCATGACCGACCTTAATTCAAGCATTGCCCGAGAGGTACAATCGAGCCTGGGTGTTGGATAAATGTCACATCCACCGATGGCTCATCTCTCAATCTCACGTCCTGTCTCTCATCTACCGTCCTGCCCACCGAGAAGGGATGAGCTTTGGGATGCCCTGATACGTCTACGACGTCATCCAAAGCAGGGTCTCGGCTTACACTCCTGACCCCCGCTCCTCATTTTGGGGGCCTCTTGGGCCGTCGTAGACCATCTTGGAGCCATCTCCGGCGGTCTCGGTGGCCTCCTGGCCCGTCTGACGCCCTCGGGAGCCGTATTCGGGGCCTCTCTGGGCCGACTTGGGGCCCTGTTGGGGTGCTCCAAGGCCGTCTTGGAGGCCATCTTGGGCGTCTTGGGGGCCTCCTGGGCCTCTTGGGCCATTCTGGGACCGTCTTTAAGACCTTTCGGGCGACCATGGAGCAAACTTTGACGGTTTTTGGGCCGTCTTGTGCCGTCGGAAGGCCGAACAGAAAATGAGCAGTCACAACTTCCACAGAAAATCAAGGATTTTGGTTTCTTCGGGCCTTCTTGGGAACTCCCTTGAAGGCCTCTTGGGCAGTTTTGGAGACCTTGGTGGCCTCTTGGGCCGTCTTGGGTCATATTGGGGCCGTCTTGGAGGCCTCTCTGGGCCAGCTTGGGGCCTTTTTGTGCTTGGAGGCCATCTTTGGCGTCTTGGAGGCATCTTGGGCCGTCTTGGGAGTTTTGGGGGCCGTCTTAAGGGCACCTTGGGCCGTTCTGGTGCCATATTGGAAGCCTCTAGGGCGATCCTGGGGCGATGTCTGGGGGCTTCCGGGCTGTGGCCGTCGGAAGGCCGAGAAGAAGGAAATGCCCAAATCATGCACGAGCCTCCGGAAAGTCAATGATTTTGGCCTTTTTGGGGTTTTCTTGGAGGCCCCGTTGACAGCTTCCTGGACTTTATTGGAGACCTCTTGGGGAACTTTGGGGTCATTTGGGAGGCTTTTTCGGCGGACCCGGAGGCATCTTGGAGTCATTATGGTGGCTTCTTCGGTGGGCTTGGAGGCACTTTGGGCCATCCTGGAGGCCATCTTGGGCCAACGTGGCCATGTTAGAAGCCATCTTGAGCCGTCTTGGAGATTTATTGCAGTGGCCTCTGGCCCGTGCCGCCGATCCGGGGTGCTACCGATTTTGCTTGCAACGGATGACCAATTATGTTTAAAAATAGAGCACTCGCTCGAGGCATCTTCGTGAGATAGAGATGTTGAACTCGCTTGGGCAACCTTCGGATATTCGAAAGTGACGATCTCGCGTGAACAGCCAAACTCGTGGGATGTCCCCTCCCACCTTCCGGGCCTGAATGGCGTCAGCCATGGCGTCAGCCCCCGCCCCCCTCCGACTCCCCCGTCCCGGGTTCGAATTGCGTCAGCCATGGCGTCGGCCCTCCCCCCCTGTCCTCTCCCGAGCCTGAACGGCGTCAGCCATGGCACCAGCCCCCCCACGACAGAGTCAAGCTTGAGCGAGCTCCCCCGTCCCTCCCCCCTCCCGGGCTAAATTGCGTCAGCCATGGCGTCAACCCTCCCCCCTTGTCCCCGACTCCTCTCTCGCGGGCCTGAATGGCGTCAGCCATGGCGTCACCCCACCCCCCCTTCCCCCCTTGGGCCTGAATGGCGTCAGCTATGGTGTCAGCCGCCTCCCCCCCCGACAAAGCGAAGCTTGAGCGAACTCCCCTCCCCTCCCCCCTCCCTCCCCCTCCCCCCTCCCCGGTCTGAATCGCGTCAGCCATGGCGTCAGTTCCCCCCCCCTTCCGACCCCCTCCTCCCGGGCCTGAATCTCCCCCCCCCTCCCCCGTCCTGGCCTCGATGGCGTCAGCTGTGGCGTCAGCCCTTTCCCCCCCCGACACAGCGAAGCTTGAGCGAGCTCCCCCCCCCCTCCCTCTTCCCGAGTTCCTCGTCCCGGTCCTGAATGGCGTCAGCCATGGCGTCCCCCCCCCCCCCCATGGCTTTCCCCTCCCCCCCCTCCTCCCTCCCGGGCCTGAATGGCGTCAGCCCCCCCCCCTTTATCCTCCTTCCCGGGCCTGAATGGCGTCAGGGTATCAGTCTTTGGCTCGGAGAGGCAACAAGGCACGATAGTGATACGTTGTTCCAATATGTCCAAGGTTTTCTCTTGCCCCGCAAGGGCTCCAGAAAAGAGGGCTGCGACAAACTCCGAATCTCCTGGATCTGAGCCAATCGCATTCGTCCTACAAGTGGTACTGATCCGAGGGGCGGTTGTTCGTTGCTCAGAATGAGAATGGTTTATTCAGCACGTGTGAGGCTGTCTCTTCCTGACACGAGCGCCAACGCCTCGCGCAGTATGTTGTTTTTGTTTGTGGTGGATTCAATCGGGCATTCCCGGCTGTGCAGAGCTGTGTTGTGCTGTGCCATCGAGAGGTGCGCGGTGTTGCTCAATCGCGCACGGTGCCATGTTACTGCAGAGCTTGGTTGTGCAGTGCCATGCTTTGTCACGCTTCGGCATGATAAGCTGTGCAACGCTGTACAAGGCCATGCTATATCGAGCTGCTCAATGCTATGCTACGGTCCGAGAATACATGTTCGAAGTTGGATTCCACACTCGCCTGGGGGGCGCGCCCTGTCCGGCGTTTCCATGGAGATTCCAGGGTTGTTGTGTGCAGCGTCGGCTGCAATGTCTGACGCCTGCGTGCTCATGGCCGGCACGGCGCGGTGTCGTGCGTGCTGCCGAGTCCGTGACATTTTAGGACTTTCTTGAGGGCGCTTGATACCCTTTGGGGACCTTCCATCGATCCAGCCCACCCCCCCTGCGTGGGCGCGCAGGAGATAGAGGACACCTGGTGGGGATCGCGCTTGGCGGCGCCACTGCAGGCCCCCTCCTTCCCCGCGCGGCCGCCAGGGGGACCGCGATCCTCAATCCTCATTGATACTCCATCTTCCTCAATCCTCGAGCCGCGATCCTCTTCCATCTTCGTCATCGGTCCCCCTCGATTATCGAGGGGGCGGGCGGGGAGGGGGCCCAGAGGATCGAAATCCCCCAACAAATCAAGAGTTGACTTCCATTCTGGAGTTGTTGGTTCTGTGAGTGTGTGTGTGTGTGCGTATCAGATCTGGATGTCTTCCTCCTCCAGAGAGGGAGTTCGACATCGAAGATGCATGTTTTCGATACTCTCGGGAGGTCGCCGCATGCGGGTTCAAGGGTCGAGGGTTCAAGGGTCGAGGATAGGTTTCGGCCTCAAGGGGCCCGCCTTGGGCCCTGTGGGTCGTCAGAGATCGATCCGGGGAGGAGAACGGGCCAATCAGATCCCAGAAGGGATCCAGGGACCGATTTTGAATGGATTCTGATGAGGAGGGGTAGGTTTACCCAGGCACTTTGGGCAAGCGTTCTTCGAATGAATCCCTTCCTGGTGACTCGGGCTTCGACAGGCTTGGGGGCTCCCCTTTCCTGGAACCCATCCGCCGCGCTCACCAGCGGCTTCGACAGAAGGGCCACAAAATGGCCATTCGTGGACGCAGCAGCGTCTCTACGAGGCGCGTTTAGTGGAGTCGCCCCTCCGCCAGATTTACAAGACCGAGCCTGGTACGGTCACCCACTGAATTTGCAAGTGTGATTTCTGTGCCCAGGTCCGAGATAGTTTGGACCTGGATGGTGTCACGAGAGCTGGAAAGGAATGTGTTGAGTCTGATCCGCTCTTGCACCGAGGGCTCGTGTACTCCCTGCTCAGGCCATGGCCGAGGCTTAGTCTTAACACATTCATCTGCACTGATAGGCCAATGGTAGGAGGGATCCTCTCGGAGCTCGTTGAGATTGACGGGTCTTGCATGATCGCCACGTTCGTCATGCGTCTAGGGCCAGTTGGTCTTGTATCAATGTAGACGGCCACGGTGATTTGGCAGGAGCTATTTTTGGGCCTTTGCCTTGTTCTCCTCAGGAGATCGGGCTGGCTGAATTGTGAGCTTTCTACATGTGCTTGTGCAACTGTAACGGTTTCCTCGCGGTCATCACCGATTGTAAGGCCTTGGTTGACGGGGTCGCGGCGGGGCCAGAAGCGTGTTGCCGCCCCACTAAGATAGATTCAGAAGTTTCAGGATTTGGTTTAAGCTTAATGAGTTGGGCTTTGACCAGGTCGAATGTTATGGATCCCCTTACACACCTCTTGGACGAAGGCGCAAGCGAGAGGGGTCCCATGGCCCATGTCTGCACTTTCGGGTCAACAAATTGACATATAGTTTTGCGAAGAGGGGGAGGTTGATGTCGAGCGTCCGCTGCTGTGGCGGGCCTCGTATTCTGTTTCCCTGTATAATGTAGGATCTTCGGCCACCTAGCAGTTGCCGCCTTCCTAAATGTTGATAAGCATCGGCTTCGTCGTGTGTTCGATCCGCTCGAGCTCGTCTCGGACCCCTACGGAGCATCAGGTGAAATGGAGCCCCGGCCGTTGGGGGTCTGGTGTCCCTGCTGGGCCCGCCCAGGTCCGCTGGTCCCATCGGCTCTGGTGGTCAAGGGGGGGCCGAAGGGCTCCTCTTGCGGTGCATACGCTAGGCGCCAGAGTTTGAGGCTCGGAGATCCGTGCCCCTCCCACCCCATTGCGGACAGGAAGATGGCTCTCAAGAACCTCAGGGCGGGCAAGGACCCAATCTCCCGACAGCCTATCCTTCGCTCTTGTCCCGTGGAGCATCCCTGTTCATCCCGCCGTGTCGGCTGGGCCAATGGGTTCTACGAGGTAATGACGGAGAGGAGGGACATCTGCTGGGAGGATCGGGACTGCGCAGTTTTCCTTTGGATCTGGCCGACATTTTGAAAACCGCCCGCCCTGCATCAGTGAATCTGTTGCACAAGTTGAAAACGAAAGTACGCGGCGCGAAGGCGAAAACAACATTTTGCAGACGATCCGACCTCCGTCCATGGAACTGCTGCGAACTTTGAAGACACATGTGCACGGCGCTGTGGCGAGAACCACATTTTTAAACGACCCGCCCTCCATCCGTGAACCGATTGTGTCCTGGCAATCTCAAGTCGTACCAGAGCACCGTACCTGGGATTTCAACGTGTCGGGTCAGCGTGATCGTTGCGCCCTGACTGAGTCCAAATCTTGTCATAATACCGTCTTTTGGGTTCTCAATCATACATGTCTTGGCCCAGGAGAGTTAGTTTTGGGGCCTCTCACACCCGGGACTCACCCCCGTGTCCGAGACTCTCATAACCCGTGTCCGGGACTCTCACACCCGTGTCTGGGACTCGCTAGCACATCATACATTTCCGATGGCTTCTTCAGGCGAAGGCGATACAAGACAGCCAGGTACACCTGTCAGGCAGCTGTTCAAGCATCATCGCATCCACAGCCCTCTGCATGAGATGGACGGTCTCGACGACGACAGAGGAGCAAAGAGTAACGGGAAAGGAAAGGCAGGGGCGTCAACGGGGGAGATCACCGTGAGCGCGATCGAGCAGATGGGAGGAGGAGGAGGAGGAGGAGGATCATCTGGACTTGCCACGGGGGGAGTCAGCATGACCACAATCGAGGGCATGTTTAAGCAGCACCTGACCCCCATTCACAAGGAAATCGAAGCCTTCAAACAGCACGCCATGTCCAGGAGTTTGCCACGATCGCCGCCTGGGACAAGTTCGCCAGCACATTTGTCAAAGCACAAAGCAATCATGCTGGTACTATTGTTTGGGCACGTGCCGATCAACCGATAGACACGCGTGCCGGAGAGTTTCCTATTTGGGCTTCGCAAGCAATTTATGGAATAGGGGTGCTCGAATAGCGAAATACGCGTGGACACGGACAACTCCGTGCTGAAAGTTGCCAATGACCCAGTGGTAGCAGTGCGCATTGCCAACAACCCTTTAGAACTATCTTGGAAAGGAGCTTGGAGCAAGTGGAATGACCTTACGAAGAGCTCCGAAGTAGAGTACCTCATCACACGCGCCAACGACACGCTCAACCGGGCATCTAAAGGCAGTGGGAAAGGAAAGAAAGGCGGCGGGTTGAATACACATTAGGGGTCACGGCGGCGCAGCGGCTTTTCAGGGAGAGCTCGGGTGGGCGAGTGGGTAACATTCCCATGCTGGCCCATGGGGCGCGGCAGAGCTGCAACATGGAATGTCGAAGGCATTGACAGAAGCAGTCCGCACAAACTTTTTTAGCTGGTCAAGCACATGCGTGATTTGTATATCGCAGTTCTTTTTCTTCAAGAGACACTTTGTTGCGGTTCCGAGACGTTCAAATTCGAAGGCCACTTCGTTATCTTATCTGGGTCAGAAGGAGATCAACGAGAATATGCTGGAGTTGGCTTCTTCGTCGCACGTGGGCAAGACAGTCAATAAAGGGATACAGCACAACGATCGCGTTGCCAGCTTACACATTCGAGTAGCTGGCGGTGTACTTACATTGATTACCGTATATGCTTGGACAAATGTGTACGCTTACGAGATACGGAGCGATTTCTTTTCCGCCTTGGAACCAATTCATCGTCAATTCCAGTCCAACGGACCAACATGATTATTTGGAGATTTCAGCGCAAGGTTTTTGGAGAGATTCGTTGGCGAGGACACTGTTCTGGGGGAGTATGTGTTTCGTAGTGCGAAAAGCAAGCGGGACCCACTCCTCACCAGAGAACTTCTTCTCGAATTCCGCACATCAGCAGGCGCATGCATCGCAAGCGCCTTTTTCGACACACCGCCGGAGCACAATATTACGTTTTACGACATTGGCACGAACCCTGTGGACCCAATAGTGCCGAGCAAGTTCGAGCAACTCGACCACGTCATCGTTGACAACAGCTGGCTTTCAAATATCCGGCTTGTTTGGAGTGACCAGGGACGTGCATTGCAATCCTACTATGCGTTGTGCCCTGTCGATATGAACACTGTCATTCCTATCGTTGAACGTGCTCAGCGACCTCTGCGACGGGATTGGAAGTCTTTGCAAAGCGAGCCAATAGCCAAGAAATACATTGACGGCTTCATCAACACCTGGGAAATACGCAGCCTTGCCACTCAGTACAACATAAAGCAGCAACGCTAGCTCAATGCATGATGGATTCTGCTTCGGATGACGCTCCGCTTCTCTCAGCCGCGCCTCGCAGCCCATGGATTTCATCGCGGGCTCTGTTTTTGATCGAGCAGAGGAATGACGCAAGATTACGGAGCAGTCGCGAAGTAGTAAAAGCACTCAACCAACAAGTGCAAATATCTGCGCGGGCTAACAAGAAGCAGTGGCTCGGCGAAGCGATTGAAAACGGAGGCTGGCACGCCGTCCGTTCCCCCCCAAAAAAAAAGCCGCGCCACGGGCGATTGCGAAATGCGCGTGGGGATGTCGTGCGCGCCGAGAAGAAAGCAGAGACAATGTCAGATTATTTGGAAGAGGAGCAATTGATTGAAGTTTTGCGAAGGTCTCGAAGAACTCCCAGATCTGGACAACAATGTCTCATTTCTACATATCAATACTGCACCCGTCACGTTGGAAGAGGTACGCCGAGCAGTCGAGTGTCTACGGGTTCAGAGAGCAGCTGGTAACGACGGCGCGCCTCCAGACTTGTGGCGCGCATTCTGGTCAAACGACGACGCGCTGGAAATCACCCGGAAGCTTTGCGACACCTGCTGGCAGCAAAAGCAAAATCCAGAAAAATGGCGGGGGGCTTCCAGTGTCACGCTCTTCAAAAATTGGGACACGTCGCAACCAAGCAATACCTTGTCTGTTGGATACAAGGCATTGGCGAGCATTTTGCTGCATAGAATCAAAACAGGAGGGTCGAACGGCGCTTTTGGGGGTCGCAGTGTGGATTCAGACCCGGACGCGGCGCAGCAGATGCCGCATTCATGGCTCGTCGATTCGTCGACGCCACATTGGAGGACAAACATGGGGAGTTATTGATTTCATTGTTGGATTGGAGCAAAGCTTTCGACCGATCAAGCCTGCTGGTTTACTGCGTGCTTTACGTCAGTTTAGAGTCCCCACACCTATCATTGATATGGTTCGAGTTCGATACACGGCGCGCCAGTTTGGTCAAAAATGGGCAGGGCAAGTTCTCTCGGCGACCTCAAAATGCAGGCGTCGCACAGGGCTGCCCACTATCTCCGCATTTGCTCGTCATAGCGATGTGGTTCTGATGGAGGCCGCGGACGCCGAGAGGAAGACAGACGCGCCGGAAGGAAGCCGCAAACCGTGGGTCATCACAGATGACATCTTGCACGCAGACGACACAATGTTGGCATCCGAAGACGGGGCGCGCCTCCAACGCCATCTGAAATCGTGGCCAAGATTGGGAAAGCTTTCGGACTACAGCTCAACAAGTACAACACCGTATTATTGCAAATATGGCCTTCAGCGATCATTCTTGGGCCTGGTGGAGAGCCAACTCAATGCAAAGATCACGCAATTTATTCGGGTGGATTTTTAAGCGCGCATGGGAATGCCAAAGCCGAATTGACAAGGCGCCTGGCGGAAGCCAAGAGTGTTTTTCAACAACTCAGTGCTGTATGGAACCATGCGAACGTTACCCGGCGACGGAAGATACACATATTGGAAACATGTATATTCTCCAAGCCGCTCTATTGCTTGGAATCGTGTGTGTTATTGGCTGCTGACCGGGAAAGGCTCGATGGGTTCCAAGCGCGTTGCCTCCGCAGGATCCACAAAATCCTCCCGGCCTTCATTTCTCGACTGAGCAACGCAGATGCGAGGTCAACCGCGAGCCCCCGCCCTCTTTCAGCCGCTCTCTTACAGAAGCAGTTGGATTTTCACGGCAAGCTGGCGAGAGTCCACCCGAACACTCTAGTTAGGCGCAAGGTGTTCGAGGAAGGCCGACTCTATAATTGCCCAGGGATTGGCATTCCTCCCACAAGCGCGGAAGACCCCGTTTGCTGCGGGCTGAATATATGCACGCGCGCGCCTCGAACCTAGCGGGAGACGACCCCGATAGATTACAGAACCTATTGAAATCTCCAGCAGCCCAGTGGGAAGCAGCTGTCCGACGCTATTGCCGATCATTGTGACTATAGTTATCAGTTTGTTGTCATCTCCCCCTCTCTCCTTCCCTCCCCCCCTCCCCCCCTTTCCCCTCCTCCCTCTTGCGTGCCGTCCTGGTGTAATTCCCACCGCCGCCCACCACTGTAATGTGCAGTGGCTGCGTTCCGGCGCCTTTGCATTCAGCTCGGAAGTCTCCCCGCATGAATTTCCCTGGCTTTTTATAGTTTGTCATGCTCTGCCGATGCGCCGTCTAGGCGCGGCTTCTTCCCAAAAAGCCATACATGTCCCTGCCTTGAAAAATATTTTGACGTGGTAAGGGATACTGTTCCCTGCGCCAAGTCCAGAGCCGAGTTTTGAGAGGGAACCACCCTTCACCCGTGAAACAGTTGCAAGTTTTCAAGACGAATGTGCGCGGCGCGATAGCGAGAGCCGCATTCTGAACGCGACCCGCCATGCATCCGTGAAGCTGTTTTGCGAACTTTGATGACGAATGTGCGCAGCGCTAAAGCGAGAGCCACATTTGGAAAACGAGGCGCCCTCCGTCCGTCAAACTGTTGCAAATTTCAAGATTCAGGATCTTAGAGAGGAAATCTCAGGCGGAACGACTGGCCCGCCCTACTGACACGTGAGGGGGCGACAGGGAGGAGTTATTCAGAAGGAAGAGGGGTGGAGGAGGAGGGGGGGGAGGAGGAGGGGAAGACGCAGCATTGCGAGGGTTTGGGGGGGAGGCCTTTGGCATTAGATGCACGATCAGTCTCCTGGCGATTCGGGGAGAGCGCCGTTCATCGCAGTCCTGCGGCGGATTATTTGTGCTCATCCGCGGGCTCCAGGGGTCTCGGCCCTTCCCGGGGGCAGATCCTCGCTCCGGACTTTGATGAACCCTAGCAGAGCCCAGAGTTGATGGGAAAGTCGATTTCCAAGAATTAATCCGCGATGATTGTGGTGTTGGGCACATCCGCGAGCACAGGGAGGGGACCGACCCGCGCCAGCAGGCTTCCCTGGCCGACGGTGTGTTCCACCATGTCGCCGCTACCTGGGACTGGGAAGGCAAGGGGCGACGGAGTTGCAGAGGATAGCAAGGCGTGGGGATGCGTACAGACAGTCACGGTCAACCGCCCGACTGGCGAAGTTATCTAGGCCTCGTTGCGCTTGCGCGCTGAGCTTTGATTCCGGTTGGCCTCAACAGCTCTCAGGGCTGTCTAGGGCGGTCTCAAAATTCCCCGCGCCGCCTCCAGCGGCGCCGCCGGGGGCGCACCGCGCCCCAGGGGGGGTGTTGGGACCGCTCTGAGCCGTCTTGGGGGCGTACGGGGGCTGGCCCGGACCATTCCCAGGTCTCTCCAGGGCCTGTCTGCGTGCAATTTCAACGCTCGATGTGGCTGGGCTCGGTGTGGTGAAGCTCGATCTCAGTCCAGACGCTCTCCTAGCAGGCGTGTGTGCGGCCGCCCCTGGGCTTATAGTTACTCAGATGGGCTTGTTCTCATGGTCTTGCCTGGGTTGTGCCATGGGCTTTGCCTTTTGACCGAGCCCAAACACGGATCCGACTCAGGGTCCTAATTAATGCCCATCCGAATGCGAGGTTCACCATCCCGCATCCATTCTTGCTTACTTGCTTCCGTGCTTGCCAGCCGTCCTACTACGGATATTCCCATGGGTGTGTCAGCTTGCTTGCTTGTTTACATACTTTCCTGCATTATATTTTGTTTGCGTGCAGAGTGCCCATTGGTTCGCCTGTACATTTGCTTGTATGGCGGCGTGCTTGCTGGCAGTATTCTTGCGTGACTGCTCGCGTGTTGCCTGCATGCCGCCGACCGTGAATAGAGGTCAGAGAAATCTTACGAGGGGAGAGCGATTATGGAGGTGCGGACACGTACTGCCGACGGGGGAATTTTGTAAGTCAGAGGGCCGCAGGACCCCTTCGCTGGGGGCAATCATCTACCCCGGAAAAGTGTTTCGTGGGTGGACTCAACATTATCCCGCCGAAGGAGCCAACAGTATGCAGTTGTGAGTACCGCGGTTGTAAGGATCGTTTTCGGTGGAGTTCTCTATACAGCCACGAAGCGTGTGAGGGGTGTGACGGTGTGCCGTAATGGGTGCGGGGGGCGCATGCGAGAGATGCCACTGGGACTTTGGGTGGAGCTCCCTATGGGGCCGCGAAGCGTGTGAGGGGTGTGCCGAAATGAGTGGCGGGGACGCATGCGAACGGTGCCACTGAGACCTTGGGTGGAGCTCCTTGTGGGGCCACGAAGCTTCTGAGGGGTGTGCCGAGACCGGCAGCGGGGACGCATGCGAACGGAGACACTGGGACCTTCGGTGGAGCTCCCTATGGGGCCACGAATCGTGTGAGGGGTGTGCCGAAACGGTTGACATGCGGTGGGCAGACGCAGGGATGGAAGGAGGGAGGACGCAGCGATACGCCATCCAGCATTCCTGACACAACGTCGTCCGGGAGCATTGTCGCTTGTGAAACGGTGTATGTTACCAGCGTTGGCAGTATTTTCAGGACTGCTTCAAGGTGGTGCTTTGTCAGGGTGCTGTCCGCTCCATGTCCTCCCTCCCCCAAAAAACCTGGAGGAGGGAGGAGCGCGAGGAGGACGTGGGAGGGACGCGGGGCGTTGTCTCTTCAAAGCGAGGACCCAACACCAGATGATGGTTGGGAAAAACAGGTCTGGAGCCCGTAATCTAGTAGAAGCGTCAGGATTGAAAAAACAATCCGCTGGAGGCCTCGGGAAGAGGTGCTGGGGCACTGAGTAGGGAGAGTGCGGCGTTGGAGTAGGGCGCGGCAGAAGGTTAGCAATGGAACATGGAAGGCCGCAAGGCTGACCCTAATTGGCCCCACTTGGCCGCTTGTTGACATTGAAGTGGGCCCGAGGTAGCCAAACGGTGCCCCAAGTGGAGCGAAGGTAACACAAGGAACCCATGGCTTCCGACTCTGATCTCATCTGGCTCGAAGTTGACCCCAGGCTTGCCCCAGTTGGCCCAATATCGAGCCGATATCGCCCGAGTTGGCCTGAGCCCCACTTGAGCTCCCATGTGATCTCTCAATTTCTCCCGATGATCTCAAACTTCCACTGAAGGTAGAAGCTCAATCAGGAAAAGTGAAATTTCAGAATGGAAGAAAGCAGCTTCCAGTCAGGATGGGGGTCCAGCCTTCTTCGAGGCTACTCGAGGCACCCCGCCAACTTCAGTCCCTGCCTGTACGACACATTGCCAGGCGTGTCCCAGCTGCGCACCCCGCCAGGGCGACCAGGTGGGTCACTTGCCTCGCCCGAGCGTTGGCTGTTGATGCCAGAGTGCGCATTGGTTAGTGATCGGAGGTTGCCGGCGGGCGGCGGCGGCGGCGGCGACGACGACGATGACGACGACGACGATGACGGCGGCGACGGCGACGGCGACAGCGACTGGGACGGGGACGGGGACGGTGACGGGAGCCACTGGGACCCACTGGCCCCTGTCATGGGGTGTTCTGGAGGCCATCTGGGCCTCCCTGGGAAGGCTTGGGCCAACTTGGGCCAAGGCCACCTCTGGCAACGCTTGAAGTGTGGGGCCAAGCTCCGCCCCCCCCCTGGAGGGGAGAAGCCGACCCCTGGCCCCTGGCGATGGCGAAGCCGACCAGACGAAACCGATTGGGCGAAACCGACCAGGCGAAGACGACCGTGGAGAGTGTCATCGGGTGGAGACGGCCGCGGCGAAGCCGACCAAAGATGACCGGGCGAAGCCGACCGCTAGCGAAACAGTCAATGCCTTCTTCTCCGCACCACCAACCCGCTGCCCTTGCCTTCTCTTCTTTGCAATGACATGTTTGACTGCTGCAGCCACTTTGGCTTCAGAATAGCGGAAAAGGAGCGTGCCCGCCCTCGCGCGCGTCGCCCGGCGGGCCGGCCTCGTCCCTTCAGGGTTATTCTACAGTCAACTTAACGGAACACCCCTTCCTTGCCATGGCTTCGGCGGAGCCCCCTGAACATGAGACACGATCGGAACAGATTGCAGGGATTATGGCTGTCCAGGAAAAAAGCTGGTTATCAGCCGAAACGACGGCTCAGCCATTGGTTTCGCCGATCATGGGATCGCAGGAAGGAGCGCTCGGAGGAATAGGACTACAACGCCGTTCCGAGCGCATTAATAAGGCAGGCGCCCTTAGGCGGCGGCCTCATACTTCCAATGTTCCCAGGAGGCAAGCATTGGAATCTGTGTTTGATTTGACAGAAAGGGGTTCCCCGATGGATAACCAGACGAAGACAAGAGCTCCAAAGCCAGGCGGATGATACGGCTCAGCCAGTGCTTCCGTCAGAAGGCCATCTGAACTCGCATCAGCGCGCTCAAGCCCACGGACGTCAGTCGACTCGATCCATGGGGAGGAGATATATGTTCCCATAGGACTGGCGGATGAAGAACGTCGGAACGAGGAACAAGTTACACAGTTTGTGATGAATGGACAGGGCGGAGACGTGAGCGACAGACACTCAGAGGAAGAGAGCTCGCATTCAATTGAAAAGAACGAACATCACATCACCTCAATCAATCCCCGCCTGGGCGGACGTGGCGGGCTCGCGTCAGGCTCAGACTTGTCGGAGACAAAGTCGATTGATTATGCGCCAGCCGAGGATCTTCGGAAGACCCCGCTTGATTCGGATGGCGACCTCGGAGGTGAAAGAAACCCCGACAGAGAGGGGATAGAGAGAGAGGGAGAGAGCGGATCGTGGAAGGGAGAGTTCGTCGGCTCAGCCGATAGTGAATTCGCTTGATGCCACGCGCCCAGCTAGGCATGCGAGAGAACCGACCGGCGCGACCCCGTTCCCGAAAACAAAGAGGACCAAAAGCGTTACTGAAGATCTGAATATTCCACCGTTATCGCAGGGTTTCAATCGACCAGATTTCACGCTTCCAAGGGCTGACCATGACAGTGTGCCAGATCTTGGCGTGCTCAGCGTGCAAGATGAAAGGGGTGAGCAGACGCAGAGGTCGCACGACACTCTGAGGAACAACAAGTGGTCAAGAACGAGGGGGCGACATGCGCCCGCATCCAGCAGGGGTCGCGCAAAGGCTCCAAGAGCCGGGCGCTCCAGCTCCAGGAGGCATGATGCCCTCGAATCACCTCGCCCATCGTCGAACAGGACCACCGGCAGTTTCCCGACCCGGGAATGCCGCTGGAACGCAGGCTCCAGATGACCGCCTCAGGCTGCGAATCGCTGCCCGGGGAAAGCACGCAAACCGGGGGGGTCGCGTCGCCGACCAGTGCGCGCGCAATATTCGAGGGCGTGCCCGAAGTGCAGTATAGCGTGGCTTTGTGAAGAATGCTCTGCGCTGGAGGAACATAATTGCCGTCGAATTGCCATTCAGGAGTGGGAAGAAGAACAGAAACATGATAAGGGGCAGCTGAGAACAAGACGGCCGCCGAAGAAGCCGGCCGCAAGCTCGCCGAATCCGAGGCAGGAAGGAGGGCAATGGCAGATGGAGCTGAAAATGAAAGAAAAGGCTGCCACCGCGGAAGGGGCGCAGAGACGGATACTTCAAGCGGAGGCGGATGCAGAGGGGATTGCGGACGTGGCTCAGCGGCGTCTCGCCGAAGAAGAGGAAGATAAACGAGAGATTCAGAGTGCGGCCGAACAGATGTTGCCATCGTCTCAACAGCAGGCCGAGAAAGAGCGAGTTGAATATCACATGATAGCTGATGCCGCCAGACGGGGTGGAGACAGAGAGGCCCGAGAACAGGCAGCGCGAGAGAAGCAGGAGCTCCGCAATCAACGCGACGTTGCCAGGCTCGAGGCCGAAAAGGCGGAGTCAGATGCGGCGCTGACGCTCCAGGAGCAGGAACAGAAGGCGCAGGCACAAAGACGCGATCATCAAAGAAGGATGGCCGAAGCCTGGAGCCATGCCAAGGGGTGCGCAGATGAGCAGAACAGGAACGGTGCTCTAACTATTCGTGCCGTGAGCGAAGAAGAAGGCTAATATCTGCCCTGGAGCAACGCAGGACGGCGAGAACATATTCGGACAGCTAGGCAACCCGGCACAGCAGTTGTGCCAGAGATCGAGTTTACACCTGCGGCTCTGCCGGGAGGTGTTGGATCACTGGAGAGGGCTAACTCAACGCCGGCTCAGCCGACGCACGTTGAGCCTCCGAGCCTGAATGTTGCTCGCCCGGTTCGCGCGAGGGCGACCGAGTCGACTCCGGCGCGAATGGGTGCGCCAGATGAGCCACGTCACGTATGTTCACGGCCTTCTTGTCGGGATTTGCGCGGGGCGCGCGACGCCCACGCGCGCGGGGCGCCTGGGCGGAGGCGCCGAGAGGTGCGCAGAATGCGCCAGGAGCGAAGAGTTCAGAGGGGGGCGGCCCCGTGGTAGAGGCAGAACAGCTAAGCATATCTGCTGACATCTTCCACAATAAAGGCCACGCAAATGAGACGGCGCCGAGACATTCGGATGGATCGGGAGAGGTCATTCAAAAGAGTCAGATGCAATTGCAAGAGCTAGAAGAACGCAAGGCAGAACTGGCAGCCATTACACGATATCGCCGCTGCCAGAGCAGACCAAGACATGTCGCGGAAGACGAGGGAAACTATAGTGCAACAAGACGCTGGACTGGAACAGCGGGCTAATAATTTCGCCGCGATCACGGGTGTTCCATTGTTCGAACCAACGGAGTCGGATTTCGCTCGAATGCCTCCGCTAATAGCGCAACATGTACCCAGTCTTCCTCTCTCGAACTCGCGATTCATTCCATGGGCGGCTGTCGAGAAATCTTCGGATGGGACGGAAGGCTCGATCCAGGAATCTGTTCGAGGATCCAATCTTGGGAACGCCCCTTTTAACGCAATACTCAGGGCCGACAATTGCGATTTACCCGGCCACCTTCCCTCCACCATCGGCCCAGCCGCACCTGGCGAAGGCGGGGGTGGACAGGGGGGAAATGAAAATGATCAGAGGGATGACCAGAGTACAGCGCCCAGCACTGGGATGATTGCGGCTACGCAAGTCGATGAGACGGGGGAGCCGAAGCCGCCAATCGAACCCCAAGGGGGGCCCAGTGGTGGAGGAGACTCAGGCGGGGATGGCGGCGGAGGGCCGAATGCCCCCAACGACTCCGCATTGCAGCCGTTCGCCACCAATCAAATGGGCCCCAAGTGGAGAATTGTTGGGACCAATAAATAGCTGAACCTTATGGACATCCCAAGTGTACAGACACTGCGAGACTGGAAACAACATTGTGCAAGGGCAGTGGCTGGGTCTTGGCGCGATGTCACGGCAGCGCAAGCGTGGATTATGGAAGCCATGAATCCGGAGATTCCCAAGGGGAATCTCCAGGCAATTGGGGCATACGTGCGTCTTGATCTGAGAAAGAGCGCGTTCTACCGCTGCTGGCGGAAAACCGGGGGGGTCCACTGCCGGTTCGAACTCCCCCCCCCCCCCTCCGGAAAACCGGGGGGGGTCACTGCCGGTTCGAACCCCTCCCCCTCCCCCCCCCAGCTCATCATGAAAAGGGGGGGGGGGGGGGGGGGGTCACTACCGGTTCGAACCCCCCCCCCCCACACCCCCCTCGAAAACCGAGTGGGGGTGCGGACAGAGGCGGGGGCGGTGTTGGTGGGACAGTGGTGAGGGGGCAGCGGAACAGTGGTGGGGACAGTGGGACAGTGGGACAGTAGAGGGCCGGTTGTGGCGGGGACAGCGGCGAGGACAATGGTGGGAACAGGGGGGACAGTGGACAGTGGTGGGGGCGGTGGTGGTGGGGACAGCGGTGTGGGCACAGTGGGAATGAAGTGGAAACAGTGGGACAGTGGAGGGTACAATGGTGGTGGGGACAGTGGCGACGGCGGTGGCGAGGACGGCGGTGGGACAATGGGACAGAGGTACAGTGGGGACAGCGGTGGGGACAGCGGGGACAGTGGTGGGAACAGTGGGACAGCTCAGTGGGACAGCGGCGGAGTCAGTGGGACAGCGGGGACAGTTGGGATAGTCGGGCAGTGGTTGGGGCCGTGGAGACAGTGGGGAGAGTGGAACCGTGGGTAACCGTGGTGGGAACAGTGGTGGGGACAGTGGGGACAGTGCGACAGTGGTGGGGGCACTGGTGGGGACACAGCGGGGACAGTGGTGGTGAGGACAGTGGTGCTGGGAACAACAGTGGAGGATGTGATGCGGACGGTGGTAGGGACCGGGAGTCGTTTGCTGGCGGTGAGTGGGGGTGGGGAGGGGTTCGAACCGGTAGTGATCCCCCTCCGGTTTTCGAGGGGGGGGGGGGGTTCGAACCGGTAGTGACCCCCCCCGGTTTTCCGGATCCGGAGGGGGGGGGGGGGGGGAAAGGGGGTTCGAACCGGTAGTGACCCCCCCCCCCCCCCCCGGTTTTAAGGGGGGGGGGGGGGGGGGGGGGGAGGGGGGGGGGGGGGGGGGGTTGCCGGGGTTAGGGAGGGGGGGGGGTTGCCGGGGGGGGGGGGGGGGGGGAGGGGGAGGGGAGGGGTTCCAGCAGGGGGGGGGGGGGGGGCGACCCCCGGGTTCCGGAGGAAAAGGTTTGCAATTTTCCACAGTAAAGCGGCGGTGGATCACGCTCTCTCTGATATGATGATAGCAACGAATATGCTTGATAAGTTCGCCAAGATGAAACGTAATCGTAGATTTTCGGCGCAACATGCCCATTTCCTCTCGCAACTAAGCAGCGTGGAACATGCGTGCCAGATCGAGGAACGCCTCCTCACGGGCCGTGAGATGATCCGTGCCAT